GGGATCTGTTCTGTGAAGTTTGGATTCAGTCAAAGGGCCGCACTTGAGGACCTGGAGGGCCAAGTGTGGCCTCGAGGCTGCAGGTTGCCCCGGCCCTGTTCTAGGGCATTGGCTACAAAGGCAAATATGAAACAGTCCCTGTCCTTGAAGAGCTTACATTCTGTTGGGGGAGACAGCACATAAACATATACAAAATATATTCAAAGTAAGAAGACAGTATGGGGGCTGCTGGGGAATCAGGAAAGGCCTCTTGTGCGAAGCAGTGTCTGAGCTGAACTTTGAAAGCTTCCAGGGATTCTGTGAGACAGAGAGCAGGGGTTTGTTTCAGGCATGGGAAAGAGCTCATGCAAAATAGTGTTCCCAAATTCCTGACAAATAATTATCTTTGGAATTTAGAAGTCTAAATTCTAGGGAATTCCCAAAGTCTTCAATTCTTTGTTTTTCTAGCTCAGTAATCAGTAAACATTTACTAAGCACCAACTGTGTGCCCGGCATGTTGCTAAGTGCTGGGGTTACAAAGAAAGGTATAAGTCAGTCGCTGCCCTCGTGGAGCTCACAGAAGAAGACAACACATTAAAAAGCTGAAAACAGAGAGAGGGGCACAATGAAGTTAAAGAGATGTGAGTTTCAGAGTTGATCGCATCCTGCAGAATGATGAGTTTTTGGAGATCATGAAATCCAGGTCAGCTGAATGGGAAAACGTTTTACTTAAATGTTTTTAAATAATAATGACTATAATAATAAGTGAGTCATTTTCCCATGATAAGGTTTATACTAAAAGTTTCGAGAGTTTTCTGGGGGAAAGATATGACAGTAAATGCATAATTTATTGTTATTGTGGCCCTCCGTATTATAACAGTGCTTTAAAACAAATGTTAATGAGCTGAATGATTTCCTTTATTTTTCTTTTTTTTAAAGTTTTTATTAATTTATTTTTAGTTTTCAACATTCACTTTCATAAGATTTTGAGTTTCAAATTTTCTTCCCGTATCTCCCCTCCCCCCACCCCAAGACAGTGTCTAATTCTGAATGGCCCTTCCCCCAGTCTGCCTTCCCTTCTATTTTGTCTCCCCTCTTCTCTTATCTCCTTCCCCTTCTATTTTCTTGTAGGGCAGGATAGATTTCTATACCCCATTGCCTGTATATTTGATTTCCCAGTTGCATGTAAAAACCGTTTTTAACATTCGTTTTTAAAACTTTGAGTTCCAAATTCTCTCCCTCCCTCCCTCCTCATTGAGAAGGCAAGTAATTCGATATAGGCTATACATATGTAGTCATGCAAAACACTTCCATAATAGTCATGTTGTGAAAGACCAACTATATTTCCCTTTATCCTATCCCGTACCCTCCCCCCCCGTTTATTCTGTTCTCTCCTTTAATCCTGTCCCTCCTCAAATTTTGCTTCTGATTACCCCCTCCTTCAGTCTGCCCTCCCTACGGTCATCCCTTCAGCATATCCCCTTCTCCCCTATTTTCCTGAAGGGTAAGATAGATTTCCATATCCAGTTGAGTGTGTGTTATTCCCTCCTTAAGCCAAATCCAAAGAGAGCAAGGTTCACTCATCCCCTCTCACCTCCGCCTCTTTCCCTCCACTATAAAAGCTTTTTCTTACCTCTTTTATGTGAGATAATTTAGCCCATTCTGCCTCTTCCTTTTTCCTTCTCCCAGTACAATCCTCTCTCACCCCTTAAATCTAGAAAATAAAATTAAGAGGTGAGAGAGCATTGTTCCTTTAATTTTCTTAAAATATTTTCAGCATTCTTCATATTCTTTACTCATTATTATGGATATCTAAAATTGTTTTTACAAATAAGAAATATTAAGTTTGGTAGCATTTACAAAGAACTCTAGTCAGTAGTGAATATTTAAATCCTGGAAAAGGCCAGTGAATATAATTGGGTAGGGTTCAAATAATGCAGCGTTTAGATCTCCTCACAAGATTTAACCACACTACACAGAATCATGTGTCAGCATCGCCAATTTCAGGACTAATTTTGCTTTCAAGACTTTTTATTTCTTGGACCACCACTCACAGGAGAACGTCTAGTATGCATATACACTAATTGCTCTTTGTTTTCCAGAATGACTCATCACTAGCATCAGACAGGACACAAACACCCAGTTAGAACGGGGCAGCCCTTGAAAGCCCAGCTAACTGACTCGATCAGGACTGCTGTTCTCCTTTGTGCTCTGTCCTAGTTCCTGGAAATGTTGACCTTCTCCTTTGACTCTGCATGTCAGCATTTCTTGCTCTTGCTTTCAAGTTGATGTCAGTGGACTCCTTTGAACCACTAATGTCTCTTTGTTGATTGTTAAGCTTTAATTTGCACAAGAGAATTCTAATGCTTTCCTCCAGTTTCTTGACTGATTTTTTTTTCCTCAGATTTGGGATTTAGGAAAACATAAATTTCCAAGAAATGCTGGGAAAGAATTCCTCCATGAATATGGGTGTGAGGAGTGGCAAGAAAGCCCAGCTTGCTGGACTACAGAGTAGATGAGTTGGGGTCGTGTGTAAGAAGCTTGGGAACAGGTGGTCAGGGGCACACTGACTGTGAAGTACGCTAAAGGTCAAGCCAAGGTGTCTGTGTTTTATCCTAGAGGTGGCAGCGAGCTATCGGAGCTGGTTGAGCAGGGGTGTAGTGTGGTCAGGAACAGATGTGCTTTGGCTGCTCTGTGGAGAGCATGAACGGGAGGGAGGAGAGCTTTGAGAAAGGAAGACCGTGAGGAGATGGGGAGATGCTGCATCAATGGTGGTGGAGGGAATGAGAGGAGAGGATGGATGCAAGCCATGTGGAGGAGGCAGGAGTGAGGAGACAATCCAGTTATCCCTTACCTGACGACCTGTCCCAGCCAGACTTGAATAAGAGCCCCTCCTCCAGCCTACCTGACCAGTAGTCATTGTTCTGTTATAGCCAAAAGGCCTTCAGTGGAGGGGGAGCTCCATTCAACTTAGAAATTGCTCTCATTGCTCAGAAGTTTTTCCCTATGTTAAATCTATATTTGCTTTTTCACACCTTCTGCCCATTAACTTTAGTGCTTGTCTTCTGGTATCAGGCAGGACAAGGCTAATTCCTCTTCCCCATGACAGGCCTTTAAAAACTTCATACCAGTTACCCTGTCTCCCTTGAGACTTCTCCAAGATAAACACCACCAGTTTCTTCACCAGTCTTTTTCTGTTTGTTTTGTTTTGGGTGAGGCAATCAGTGTCAGGAGACTTGCCCAGAGTCACACAGGGACACAAGTGTCTGAGGCTGGATTTGAACTCAGGTCCTCTAAGGCCAGAGCTCTATCCACTGTGCCCTCTAGCTGCCCCTCTTCACCAGTCTTTTTATATGGCAGAAACTTCATCATCTTGGTTCTCCATCGATGGATATTTTCCTGTTTATCAGTATATTTCCTAATAAAACACAGAATTCAGAATTGGGAGAACTTTCAAACATAGATTATGGGTATTGGAGGGGAGCCTAGGGAGCATCCCATCCAACCCTTTCATTTCATGAAGGAGGGAAGAAGTGACTTGCCCAGAGTCACTCCAGATGTGATTGGTAGAACTTGGACTCATTGACTCTAGTTCTTGTGTTCCTTTCTTCACCTCCTTTAGAGCTAGAGGGGAAATGTTTTAGTTTAAACTTCAAATATGAAAAAAACAAAATCCAATCATTAAAATCACCCTGTGGAACCCTGGTTCTGTGGAAGGTGGTCTGATAAGCCCCGCTCTTCCCAAACTAGGCATGAATGGCACAGGTGGGCAAGCAGTTTGCATTTCTCTTTTAATGTCAGATGTGTGGACGTGGTGTGACTAGACAGAGTAAAGCCAAGGTGATCACTGAAATGAAATCAATTCAGTAGGTGAAAGTGTGGAAGCTTAAGAATCCCTAGAAAGACCTGCGTCCTGCCTCTGGCACAGAATAGTTCTCTATTCCTGGGCAAGTCTTGGATTTCCCCAGGCAAATCTCATACTGTGAGTCACCAAGGAGTGGCTGATCTCTTTTAGTGGCATGAATTTCTGTGGTGACAGTACTCTTCTACCATGAACTCATAGGTCTGGGTCCTGTCCCACAACCCCTCCTCTCATTAAAATTTTCTTTTTCAGTTTTAATGGAGCAGAAATCCTATTTTATGGTAGATAAGGCTTTCTTAGTTGACATTTCCTGGAGTGGTATCCTTTGCCCTTTTTTTAGATCTGAGATCAGAAATCTTGGCCAATCTACTGTGTTCTATTTCCGTAGCCATCATCCTAATTTAGACTCCTTTTACTTCCAATTGATATTGTTGCTCCAGTCTTTCTTAGTTTTATTTTAATCATCTCCCTCATCTCATCCTCCACCACCACACACTAGTTCTTCAGGAGTTTTCCGTGTCCTAGTGAATGAACGCTCTTTGGTTGGTATCAGACGTCCTCCATTTTTGTCCTGGTCCTTTTCCTTCCCAGCTCTTCTCTTCTTCTGTGACTGTTCACATGTCTTCTGTGGCAGCCGTGCCATACTGGTGAACCCTGCATTCCCCAGATGTGCTGCACGTCTCCATGCCAAGGTTAGGATGTTCCCTCTTCTGAGAATGCTCTTCTCCCCTCACACCAGCCCCCAGTCATTGCTTGTAGAGATCCTCCTCCTCTCTTAAGACCTCTGTCCCGTGTCTCTTTCCTTCCCTAGGCTGCCTAGTCAAAAGCAAGTTTTTTTTTCTTTTCCAAATCCTTCCAGCTCTTTCAGCCTCTGTACTGCATTTGGACAGTCTTCCATTTACCCTCTTTGTGTACATGTCATAGTGCAACCCTCTCATTTTACAGAGGAGGAAGCTGAGGCCCAGAGGCAGGGACAGGAGCTTGCTTAAGGGCTTCTCCTAGACTGTAAGCCCTTGGGAGCAGATAGCATCCATTTCGTCTTTCTTTGGATCCCTCACAATTCTTAGCAGCAAGTGGGTAATGGGTTAGTATTGGCTGAATGAACTATTCATTTTTCTTTAAAACTATATTTTCATTGTGCCTTTCTGTCCAATTGTAGCCTCCATCAATGGAGAAATTCTTTCCTGAGCCATTTTCTACTGTCCTGCAAGCAGTTACCTGTCCACACATTTCGAACTGGTAAGTAGCAGTCCCGCTCTTGTGCACTGGTTGGCAGATTCTGCGGCCGTCCACACGACCAGTGCACCCCTGTCGGGTCTGTAGAGGCTCATGGCCAGGCTGGTCAGTTACTGTCATTTATGCTCTCTCATATTACAGAGGGATGTCCTGTAGTTTGATATTTTATTAAGTGACATTTTGAAGCCCTCTTAAAACAAATGGCTGCCCGGATGAATCTTTGAGTCATCGCCTTCTGTACTCTGCCATGTGTTAAGGCTTCTCTGGGTGTTGAGTGGTCACGTGATGGACACTTAGGGAGCAAAGTGGGGAAGTGGTGAGTGAGGCAGAGGTTAGCATCCTTCCCTCTGCCAGTACATGGAAACCTCTTTGGCTTTTATTTGTTTCCGTGTCTCCTGTGAAGTCCTGTTCCAGGGCCTTCCCGTAGTGAGGTTGGTAACTCCAGGTGCTCAAGGACCCTGACGGTGGAGGAAAGGCTCAGGAGGCCACTGATACACTGGGAAGGCTTCAGAGAAAGGCCAGGCCCAAGGACAGAGTTTGTGTGGGAGGCCCAGCCAGCTCAGTTAAGCTTGGAGCAGCACACGGCCAGGCCAGCTGCCACAGGGCCCTGCACTTGGGCTACAGATGCTCTCCAAGACCTTCCCCTAAATTCCTGATGGGCTGTGCTTTGTCTGGGTGGAAGGAATCCCTGCCCCAGTGCCACCACGGGCTCCGGAAGCGTCATTGGAATGAGACGTGTGTGTTTGGACACTGAGGGAAAGAGACGGCAGAAGGTGCCGAAGATGAATTGCTTTTTAATTTTTAATAGATTTTCATGGATATCTTTTGTTTTCATGTCACCTCGCTATTCCTCTGTATTCTTCCTCACCTTAGAGAGCCAGCCCTTGTAACAGATAATTGCGGGGGGGAGGAGAAGAGAAAGAAGAGAAATCAGCACAACCAATCAGTACATTAAAAAATGTGGTATTCTGTGCGATGTTCCATACTCTTGGACTGCCCCCCCCATATCCACACACATCCGCCAACTTGGCACACTCCCTGCCACCCCCCGCCCCCACGAAAGGTGGGGGAGAAATGTCCTCACATTTTTCTTTTTTGAGGCCAAGCTTGGTTTTTGTAATTTTGCAGTGTTCATTTTCTGCTTTTTATGTTGTTTTTGCTTTGTTTTTTAAGTAATTATTGACTTTTTCACATTGTCAAAATTTCCACCATTATCCCTCCCCTTCTTCCCTCCTCCTCCCAAAGAGCCATCCTGTATAATAGAATTTTTTTTTTGGTGAGGCAGTTGGGGTTAAGTGACTTGCCCAGAGTCATACAACTAGTGTCAGGTGTCTGAGGCTGGATTTGAACTCAGGTGTATCCGCTGCTCCACCTAGCTGCCCCATCATAGACTGTTTTTAAAAAAAGAATGAGCCAAACTAGTTAATAAATGCAAACACTCTGAAAATCAAATCAGTGTTCCACCCGTGTGGACCGCCTCCTCTGCGAAGGAGTGGAGCTGGAAGGGCTTCTCATAGCTCTTTTTAGGGGCCCTAATAGTTTGTAGTAATTTTGCAGTGCTCACTTTTGGGTTTTTCCATTTGCCGTGGTGTTGTTTTTATTGTATGTATTATTTTCTTGGCCCTGCTTACCTCACTTAGCATCAATTCATGTAAGCCTTTTCAAGCTTCTCTCTATCGTATTCTTTATATTTTCATAGCACAGGAATATGCCATCACATTCATTTGTTTGGCCATCCCCAGCAGTTCATTGCTGGAAAGAGAAAAAAAGCATTGCTCCATGGAAAGGCTGTGCATACACCAAAATGTATATGGGGATGTGGATCCTTTCTTTTTGTCAGTGACCTACGTGAAGTAAATGGTTAGCAGTGGAATTGCTTCATCAGAGGGCACAATGAACCTTTTAACCACTTCATCTGCATAATTCGCAGCTGCTTTCTAAAATGGTTGTATTCCCATTTCCAGTTGCCAGCTTCACTGCCGGCGGATCACCACCTATCTTGCTGTAGTCCCTCCACCATTGACTCTTCCCATCCTTTCTTGACTTGCTGGGTATGGGCTGAAACGTTAAGGTTGTTTTGATTTGCATTTGTCTTATGATTAGTGACCTGGAACATTCTTTCATATGGTTGTTTTTTAGAAATGATCATTCATATCCTTTGGCCATTTTACCTGTGGGCGAATGGCTTTTGGTCTTCTAGATTTCTGTTGTCTATATAAGAGAGCAAACCCTTGTCAGAGATATTTAATGCAAAGATTTTTTTCCCCAGTCAACTACTTCCCTTCCTATCCTAGGTATATTAAATTTGTTTGTGCAAAAGCTTTTTAGATTTCACACAATCCAAATGATCTGTTTTATCTCTTGTGATTTCCTTTATCCCCTTTTTGGTTAAGAATTCATCTCCTGCCCTTAGTTGTGAAAGGTAGGTCCCTGAATTTTTTTAAAGGAAGGTGAATGTCTTCCATTGGTCCTCCACGTGAGTTCTTGTGAACAGCTGGAGACAGCTGGTTGCATTGTCCTTCCCCAACCCCCCAGAAGAGAAGAGGGCATCTGGCTTTTACTCCCTGGGCTGGGTTGGAGGTTGTAAAGCTGTTTAGAGAAAAGGGAAATGTCTACTTGAGTGGGATGGAATGGAGTACAGAAATGAAATCTAAACTGAACATGGATAGGGAAAGCAGCTACCTCAGTGGCTCAATTAGGACAAGATTGTTCTTCCTCCAAGATCAGAGAGAGCAGGAGGCCAGTTCTTGGGGCTTCGGGCATGGGCTGACCTGTGATCTCATAGATGTGAGTGGGCCTCATACTTCCCCTTCTCTTGAGGGAATCTCACTCACAAACATAGTTTGTGCACAGTTTAAAAACTGGCTCATTTGTTCCCTGCTTCCTACCACAGCCACTGTGGAAAAAAAGAGCCCATCTCATTGAACCAAGGGAGGGTTTGTGGGTGTTTTTTTTCCTTCTGTTACAAGTCTCCATAGCCCTCAAATCCGTCTCTTCCTGACCAGCCTCCTGGCAGAGAGGCTCACCCCTGAGCTGTGCTGGGCCTCACATGGGTGGTAGGCACTTGAGGCCTTCTCGGGCCCTTTCTTGAAGCCTCCTAGCTTGGTCGCACACCAGGAACTGGGGGGAGCGGGGACGCGTTGCTTTCAGGACCCGAGGGCCGCCTGTGTGCTCAGGTGAGGCGTCAGAGGGTGACTTGGGTGAAGGAACCATAGAGCCCCTTGCTTTTAAGGTTTATTGAAATGTGACATTCTGCAGCATTGCCTTTTCTCTGTTTGTATTAATTGAATCAGGTTTTTTAGTTTGAGAACCTGATTGGGGCCAGAGTGCAGAAGGGACCTATTCAGTCCCATTCTAAACTGTTCAGCTGCAAAATGTGACCAGAAGCTGAATGAGATTAAACCCTGAATTTCTTTGTCAGGAATTGAGACAATTTGACCCTCTGACTGCACCTTTTGAGAATAACCTTGGGAGAGGGAAAGGCCTTTTGTGACCAGAGATGCTTCATCTCCTCTGCTTCTGCCTTTTAGAAAACCACTGTTGTTATCTTCAGTGTCGCTGGTCTCCTAGAAGACCATCGGGGTCCTTAGGTTGCATGGTTCTTCCTCCATTGGCATCTCATGTCCAGGGTGGTACCAGCTCAATCTGAGAAGGCTCCTATAGCATTGATAAATGGAGACCTTTCCCCAACAGGCCTCTGCTGGTGCTCTGAAGCCGTGCCACCCCATCTCACAACTTACCTGACTTCTGTTACAGATACGAGGAAGTTCCACACGGCCGCGTCCCGAGCGCTGTTCCGCCTGCGCCCATTCCATCTCGTGGTGGCTACAGGCGGTGGGTATGCAGGGTACCGTCAGTACGAGAAGTACAGGGATCGGCAGCTGGAGAGGCTGGGCCTGGAGGTCCCACCCAGGCTTGCAGGAGAGTGGGAGGTAGGACACTTGTTGACGTTTATAACCCCGTAGCATGATCTCTCTCCTTTTTCTTGAATGCTCTCCCGCCCTCTCCCTTTCTCTCCTCTAATCCAAACTGAAAACCTCTTCTGTGGCCCTGGTTGTGATGTCTCGGGCTGGCTCCCAAAGCCAGCCAGCCGCAGTCGCAGACTCCTCCTGTGGCCGACGCGTGCGGAGCCGTCCTCTGGTCATTTCAGTCTTCGTTGTCGGTGGTTGCCCTGGCGTCTCAGCCGCCGCAGCCCTGAGGCTTCTCAGTCCGATGTCTGAGCCCTGTCGCGCAGCAGGTTTGTGATGTGGATAAGCATAAACTAGGCACTAGAATGAAGGTCCCAGATTCCTTCGCTACGAGACGCTCGTCAGCCTTTTGGGCGCCCGTGTCGCGGACGGCAACGTAAGTTGGGCGCGCCCACGCCTCCCCAGAGTCTGTCTGCACAGAACGAGACAAATGAGCATTGATGAGGAGCGAGCGTCAAGTGTCTGGTCTGAGGCCGGACTTGAACTCAGGTCCTCCTGACTCCAAGGCCGGAGCTCTCTCCGCTGTGCCACCTAGCTGCAGTGGTTTTGGTCAGGTGTTTCCAAATCATGGAATTGGCCTTTCCCAGAGTGGTCTATCTTCTTTTATCCTCTCTTGGAAAGCTGATCCGGTTGGTTGTTTTTTTGTTTAAAGGCAATTGGGGTTAAGTGACTTTCCCAGGGTCACACAGCCAGCAAGTGTCAAGTGTTTGGTCTGAGGCTAGATTTGAACTCAGGTCCTCCTGACTTCGGGGCTGGTGCTCTGTCTGCTGTGCCACCCAGCTGCCCCATGATCTGTTTTTCTTAAAAGGAGCTACTGTGTGAGAGCCATTTGTTTATGCTTCTCATTGTCCAGATCTTCTATTGTGAGGTGCTAATCCCATACCACCCCCCACACCCGCACAGCTGACAGGAAGGAGTCCGTGTAATGGTGAGACACAGAGCAGCCCTCATGTTGCTCTGAGTCTGCTACACTGAAAACCAGCCCAAGTCATTTTTGAAGGACTGTGCATTTTGTAGCGTCATGCCTTCCCTTATTAGGGGATGATTGAGATGGGATCATCTGGGGGAGAAGGGCTAGGAGGGTTGGTTCTGAGTGGGCTGAACAAGATCATCGGCATGGGATGGGAATGGCGGGTGGAGGTCCTTTGCCTTGAGGACGTTGCCTCCCCTTCAGCTCAGGATTGCTTTGTTTCTGCCCCCTCCCTCCCTCCTCTGCCATGGGCTGGCCGGGGATCTTTTCTCCGCTCCAGGATTCCCACCCACGTGTCATCCTCAGACCGAGGGGTCTCTCAGACCTCATGGAATCTGTTGCCAAGGCCTGTTGGTTTTACCTTCCTAACATCTCTTTCACATGCCCCCTTCTCTCCTCTAACACTGGCGCTGCCTGGTGCAGGCCCTCCTCACCTCATTCATTTGGCTAAGTCTTGGGAGGCTTTGCCCCGGTGAGACAACAGAACTCTGTCATTACCAGGCCTGCAAACCGGTGCTTTGGTTCCACCAGACAGGGAGTTGCCAGCAGCCTGGTCTCTTACCCGACCGCTTCTTTGGACGAGCGGCGGCTTCTTTCTCAGAGCATCCAATTTTGCTTTTCAGGAGAAATCCCAGGTCTGTTTTTCAGCTCGGAGGGCACAGCTGTCCTCATCCTTTCTCCTGGTGTGTAACAGCCTCCGGACAAGGGTCAGGTCTCCCTTTCTCTGCCTCTTCTTCTTATTCTGTGGGGTGTCCTGGAGTGTGGGCAGGCAGGCCTCAGGGTCTTTCCCCGCCTCTGGGAGGAAGTGGGCGCAGCACCCGCCTCATTCAGATTTGACCTGAGTCACTGAATATTGAACAAAGGGGACGTTTGCTTTGCTGTCACAGAGCAAGGCCGAGCGGCCGGGAGGCACTTAGCTCCTCCCTCTGCAGATGGCATCAGGCCGTGGGGGTGGGGGGGGAGACATCCGCCAGCATGTGGGCCTCAGGCCGGGTCCTGCCTGTCCCAGCACGGAGCCCCAGAAACCGCCCCTCGGTCGGGGCGGCAGAAAGGCCGGCGCTGTGGGCTCAGTGCTGGTCACCCTCCGGGCTGGCTGCCTCTTCCGCCCACCTCCCTGGCTCTTTTCCTTTGCTTTCTCCTTCTGGTCCCGTGAGTGTGCCTTCATTGCCTTCTCTCTTCTCTCTCTTGGAAGTGTGCCTCTGGACTCCAGCCCTTACCTCTCTTCTGGGTCCCAGCAGCACGTCTCTAGCTCTCTGCCCAACGTGCCCGGGCCCCACCAGCCTGGCCCCTCTTCTGCTCTTGCTTTGTCCTACATCACGTTTTTCAGGCTTCCTTTCCCCAAGCCATCTTCCTCAGCCACCTGCTGCCCGCTTATACTTTAGCAGAGGAACACACAGGAAGTGACAAGGAGCAGAGTAGCAGCATTGGGAAGAACCCTAAGCCTTGGGGCCTGCCCTGCTTCTCCCCAGGGCTCCCTGCACAGCCCTGTGGTGAGGAAGGCACTTCTCTGGGGCGCTCTCTGCTCTATGTGTTCACCCAAGGATCAGAGGTTCCAGAGGGTTTCTGAATAGTCATATACTTGCATTGGCTTCTGAAGTCCGAAGTGTGTGAGGGGACCCGGAGGGAGAAGGTCCTCTTGGTGGGGCCCATGAGGAGCCCTTCCCACCCCCAGTTTGCGGTCCCAGAAGCCTGGGGGCAGGGAGTCTCTTTTGTGCTTTGGCTTGCCTGCAAGGTGTGTCTGCCTAGAATTTCATGCCAGAAACAGTGGCTGATGTTGAGGGTGGAGGAATAGCTCACAAGTAATCAGTGATGTTGGTGAAGAGGCTCTGGTTTGAGAGCGTCAAAGGCCTGCTGACAAGAGATAATGTGAAGTGGCCAGAAGTCAACATCACATTGCTTAAAAAAATAAATAAAAGGTTGAAACTCCATTTGCTAGTAACCTCGTCCTTGATGTGGTTTAGGGGTTCAAGGGTCCTGTCCAAAAGAATTCGACCCAAGCCTTCGTCCAGCCAAAGATAAGATTTATTCGAACATCCATCATATTGGGCAGACTCTTAAGGAGTCTGAACATTAGTAAGCTATTGGCTAGATTTTAGGAATCCCAGCAGTGGCTAGATTATAAGAATCTAAGCATCTTAACGGAGACAAGATGGACCTTATATACAGAAAGCTTGTGGGAGGGACCTAGGAGTGACAGTAAGCTGGGGTGAACAGAACTCCTGGGACCTGGACCTTGTGGCCCAGGGAGAGTAGAGCCTAGCTAGGATTAAGGGTGGGAAATGGCCTGGGGCCATGGGGAGGTAAGACAATGGAGGGAAGATTGGGTGTAGCCACAGTGAAAGGCCAGTTGATGATGGGATTATAGCCTCAGGTGAAAGCCAGAGATTTGGCCATGTGGGAAAGTCCAGGGTTTTTCCTTTCTGGGGCCCAGATCCCAATCCCATCTGCAGGGCTACTAGGCCTGGCTCGTTACCCAGGGCTGCTGAGCTGGGGCCTAGAGGTCCTGTCAGGCGGACCGAGGGGTCTTGATGGGTTCCCTCAGGCGGGCTGGCCTTCCCTGCCGTATATCCATCACTACAGGAACACATCTCACAACCAAATAAAGTTTGCATCAGTCAGAAGGCTTTGCTGCCTGCTGCCTTTGGGCAAAATGAAGAGTTGTCTCTGAGAGTTTAGTCGCATCGATATTTGGAGCTCAGTCACCTTATCTGTAAAATGAGGACAGCTTCCATTCACCTTCCAGCCCCGAGGCTTAGATTTTGGGATTCTGGCCAAAAGGTGGCACCTGGAGCTCAGCCCTGGGCACTCCAGGTTCTGTCCCATCGTCCCGCCAAGAGGGCCCTGAGGAATCTTCCTTGTTGTCCTTAGCCTCTCTTCCCCTGCATTGTCTTGGAGGCCTGCTGCAGGTCCTGCCTGCAGCCTGCCTTGGCTGGCCTTAGGCGTGGCTGGGAAGGGAATGGAGAGCCCTGGGTCACATGAGGAGTTGCTGGGCCACACCTGAGGCTCTAGCCACGCCTTGCCAGCCCATTCCATTGGGGACAGCTCAGGATTGTGGGGAGTTTTTCCTCTGGGGGACCGAGGTCTGTTTCCCTGTAAATTCCACCTCCTGGTGCTTTCTGCCCTTTGGAGCGCTATGTGGTACCCTTTTTCTGTCTGACAGGCCTTCAGAGTTTGGGATCATAAGAGCATAGATGTGGTTTTGGAAGCCATCCAAGCCAAGCCCCTCATATTACAAAGCAGGAAACAGAGGCCCAAGGAGGTAGAAGTGATTTCTGCACAGCCACACAGCTAGGAAGGGTAAGAGATCCTCCCAGGCCCTGGGCCTGGCTCTTCCCCACATGACCTGCCTTCGAGGCAGGCCGCCATCCCCATGGCCTTCACCCTGGACTGCTTGGGCTTGGCCCTCTTGGAACAGAACACAGGATGGCAGCTGTGCCCCAGGCCGCGCAGAGGCAGGGTCCTGGCCTTGGCTTCTGGATTCTTCTGCATCTTTCTTCCTGCAGTCTCAACAACCTGTTCATAGTCACCTCTTTACACTCTTCACTAACGGCCTGAGCTCGTGGTCCTCTGAACCACAGCGTTCTCATTGGAACTGCCCGTGTGTGTGTGTGTGTGTGTGTGTATAGATGTGTGCAGCGTATGTTCCTGTGTTGTGCATTCGTGGGTGTACCCTGTGTGCGCATGCGTATGTGTGCACGCATTGCGCCCTGTGTGGGTGCATAGTATGTGTGTACAGTGCATTGTGCACATGTATGAATGCCTCGTGCCTTGTGTTGGTGCGCACACACCATCTGTTCGTATGTATATTCAGGTACGCGCCTTGTGCATGTACCGTGTGTACTTGAGCGTCGGGGTTTACATTTTTATTTTTCTCTCTCCGGCTGCTCTAGCCTGCTGCTCCCCCTGTCATATTTTAGCTTTAAAAGGCCGAGGTCCCCCAGTGCATCCTGGGTCTTCTGCAGTCCTCCTGATCTATATGTGGCCACTGCACCCA